TGCTGCCTTCATTGGCGGCTCCATTTTGGTGGTGGCCATACCAAATGGCTTTAGTTCATTCATGGTCCTTATGAGGTAGGAGACCAGCAGGACTTGTTTTCTGGTCACAACCTTGCTGACCAAAACAGGATCTGGTTCAGACAGGATAATGAGTTTCTAAGTTCCTTTGAAATTTAACTTTCAAGCATCATGAATTTTTTTTTTAACTTGAAACTGCTTTGTTCAGGATCTGTTTCTTCTTGCCTCAGTGTCTACATTTGCAAGAAAGAGTGTTGCTTGACCCCAATCTGTATTCGTCTCTGTAATTCTACAAATATGTAACACAAGACTACACAATGTGTTGCACTCATAATATTTTTAAAATATAAAGTGGTACATTTATCTTCACAATGCAATTCAAGTCTCAAAGATGCACTTACTTAAGGATGTTTATACATCCCATTCTCCATTTTATTTCTAATTTACTTTTAGTTAACTTTGTATGCTACAAGGTTTCGAGTTTTTTCTTTTTTAATTTCAATAGTTATCAATATGTTACAGAATGAGTTGAGTTTATTATAATTGGTGAATTGCTCCAACAGGAGCTGTCCAAGGGAAAGAAGGTGGCAGTTAGGACTCAGAATAAATTTACAGAAGTGATCATTGTTATCCAGTCAGAATGTGCATGGGGGAGATAGCATAACAGCTGATCACATTGCATTAAAATATTCAATTGTGTCTTCATTAGCAAAACATCGTTATTGGATTTTTTTTTCCTGAATATGTACTATATTTCTAAACATCATGTAACATAGCACTCATTGATATAATGTAAAACAGAATAAGTTAATATTAGTCACAAGCATCACTGAGATATTTTAAATACTAAGAATACATATTGACAGAAACTGATTACATAAATACATATTCAGTTCATTACCAGTTATATCTATTATTCTCATTCACTAGGGAATAATCACACAAAAATAATTATCTTTAAAGGAGTTACCAAGAGAGCTAACATGATATCCAATTAGTTCTGTTAGAACAAAAGCAAAGCAAACAGCCAAACTACATGTATTTGAAATGATTTTTTTTGCTGTTGCGTCATTCTCCTGTCCATATCTCAATGGTGCTGCCTTCATTGGCGGCTCCATTTTGGTGGTGGCCATACCAAATGGCTTTAGTTCATTCATGGTCCTTATGAGGTAGGAGACCAGCAGGACTTATTTTCTGGTCACAACCTTGTTGACCAAAACAGGATCTGGTTCAGACAGGATAAAGTGAAGAAACTGGCAGGAACCAGCAGATGTCAACGCAAGCAGTCCTAGCTGCACTCATTGCTCATTGGCATAAGACACTCCCACCAGTGCCATGACAGTTTATAAATACTATGGCAACAACTTGAAAGTTACCACCCGTCTCTGTTGCAATGACCTGGAAGTTACTTCCCTCTTTCCTAGAAATTTCTAAATAATCTACCCCTCAATTTGCATTGACCCACTCCTTAATTTGCATGTAATTGAAATTGGGTTTACATAAGTATAAATAACTTTGCCAAGAGACCATAGATTGCAGAGTTTGGGCACATTGACTATGAGTTAGCACTGCTCCACAAACAGCAGTACCATTTAATAAAAGTTGCTATCCAAAACCCACTGGATTACCCTTGAATTCTTTCTTGGGCAAAGCCAAGAACCTCCTGAGCCAAGTCCCAATTTGGGGGCTTGACTGTTTGGTATCACTTACCTCTTGATATATATTATTAAGTACATAAAAACCATAAGGAAACCAGTTTCTTTAAAGTCTAATTGTATGGTTTTAGAATTCTTGGAATAGCTACAGACAATAAAGGCTGTAATGGAGAGAGAAGGAGGCATGAAGTGCTTTGGGAGTTGGAAGTGCAGATGACCCAGATCCTGGTTGCTGTGAGAAGGTACTTCCTCAGTTAACAAGATTCCTGAGGAAGCCGGTTTTGCAATATTGAGATTCCCCTTGGAATGGTAGTCCAGTCAAAGTGATATCCAAAAATGTTTATTTAGTTTTAGTGAGAACAAACCTAAAGGGTTGAGCCCTCACAATGTGAATCTCCCCAGCCCCTGGTTATTAATCCTTGGTTCATGCAGTTGTCTAGACTCCTGAGGGTAATTTGAAGCCTGAGTATGCAGAACCCGTGTTCCATTCCTTCCCTAAAGTGCGGAAGATTTCAGAAATGGCTATCATCTGTTACATGAGGTACATATACCAAATTTTTAAAAAGATTCAATAGTAGCTGAATATGCATTAAAAAATCATCTGAGGCTGATAGGATATTGGATCATCAGATTTTTTTCCTATACTTAAAAACAACTTTGAACAATAGCAATATAAGTTTATGTTTCACATGCACAATGCTTTTTGTGAACATGGATTATAAATAAATGAAAAGTTCTGAGTTATGGTATCAGATGATGTAGTTATAGAAAAATTATTATTCACAAAGCCTAAAATATGAGCCAATGTCTTTTCCAAAGAGCCCACGGATAGAATTCCTTTTTTTTTTTTTTTTGCTAAGCCTATGTGACTTAAAATTATTGATTATTATTAAGCATGAAAATCTCACAGAGTTAGAGGTATCCAGTTGGTCAAGACTAGACTTTACTAGTTCAGTAATATGATATTAACAATTTTCTGTCTGTGCGTGTATTTATATATACAATTATATAATACATGACAAAACACAAATGAAATCCAATGTATGAGAATGCTTTTCCAAATTTAGACAGTTTTTACTTAAAAGTAAAAGCGAGCAAATGCCTTACAAGTAGAAATCTATTAGTAGTGGGTGTTCTTATTTCAAATCAACTTTTCCCAATTATGTTATTCTTGTCAAAAATATGTTCAATAGTTGAGGCATTTGGAAATTACCTTTCCTACCTGCATTGATTTGCAAACTTTGTGATGATTTCTGCCTTGGAAAGGTGTTATTTATAGGCTCACTTATAAAGAGACAATTAGATGTGTGAAAAATAAGTGAGAAACGTTGACTACCAGACTTCGATCTTAACGATGCTATATTTCTTTTCAAAAATAATTCCACTAAGCAAACCCTTGAGAGGATGAGGCTGCAGTGTTTCCCTTACTGATTAGTTGAGGGGTTATAGACTTCTCTCCATCACAATAAATATGCACAGACGATAACACACATATTGATATTAGAAGGAGAAATGAGAGATGAATCAAATTTTTTTAAAAAACATAAAAGTAAGTGGGACTTCCTTTCTAAAAATAACTCGTTTTATTAATATTTTTCATATAAATGAAATATGTGTTGGTCATGTTCAAAATAAGTAATGCTCAATTTTTAAAAAAAGGGTTACAGAAATAAAGATGATTAACAGCAAAAAAACAAACAAACAAACAAAAAAACAAAAAAGAAAAGGTGGAGATATGTCCCAGAACTCTCACACAAAGATTGTTTATGTTTGGTGACAGTATTAGGGAAGTCAATATTTGCTTTGTTATAAATTAGAGTTAACAGAAGTATTGAAGAACAAACATGAAAAATCCATAAAATCATTATGGCTCTAAGAAGAATATGTATTAGATACTTCACCTGGACCTAATTTGTATATGATTTTTCTTCTCATTTTTATTATAATATTTCAAAGATCAATTATAAAATATATAGACACGCATAAGGATTCATCAAAAGTGTTACGTAAAGTGAGCCTGGATTACCGTGACAATAGCATCCAACTACAGTTCGTGTATGAGAATAAATGAGTAATGTCAAAAAATAAATAAGCAACCTGGACTTCTCAAATAAGTGTAATTTGAATGCTTAAAATACAGATCTGTTGCTGATGTATGTGTATGTTTGTGTTTGAGAGCTAGTGTGCTCAGATTTAAACAAAAGTTTTGTTGCTAAGGATAGTAAGAATATTATTTAACTTGAAAACTGATAATAAGTGGTTATGCATTTTTATAAGTTGTTGAGATGGAAGAAAAGGATGAGTTCATTGCTGTGTACTTGTACAGGTGATTGTCCATTATTTTAGGTAAAAGGCCATTTTATTTATTTATAAATTGTTATTTTCTTAACCACTTTTCCCTGAAACCTAAAGATAATCCTCTTTATTCAGTATTGAGAAAACCACGTTAATAATGTTTTCTCTGTTTTGTAACATTGTGTAAAACTATCATATTCCTTTGGTCTTTAATAAACAGTAAAATTACTTAAAGTAAACAAACGAAACAACAAAAGGCAACAACTCAAGAGCGACTTACTACTTGTATCAGTATTCTTTGTTAGTATAAATGCAGTGATTCATGATGGGTTTTACTGGGATTTGAAATTTTACAGGAGTCATCAAGACTGCCCTTCCAAACATGGATAGAGAGGCTAAAGACCAGTATTTGCTTGTTATTCAGGCAAAGGATATGGTTGGTCAAAATGGAGGACTGTCAGGAACTACATCAGTCACTGTGACCCTAACGGACGTCAACGATAACCCACCTCGCTTTCCTCGAAGTAAGTTGTTTTCTTAAGTGATACAAGTGTAATAACTTTTCCTGACAGTATAAAATACGTCTTTAAAATGACTTTTTTCAAATATTTCTAAAGCAAATAATTATCTTACTTCATTCCTCCAAATTTACATTTCATTAGAGACATAATTTTGATTCAGCAATATGGATTATAAGGGTATTGAGAAGAAATAGAAGCCATCATATATTTGCATTACTTCTAAGTAATGCAAATTTTGACTACCATGTCTTAAATATAGTAAGATTTTTCTTTCATTCACATTTTCAATACTAGACAATTACTAATTGTGTTTATGTATTAGTGTTTTTTCTAAGAATTACTTTTTATATTTTGTAAATTATAAAGTTGTTGCCCATTAAAAATATTCAAATACATTTTATTCATTCTATGCACTAAAATATTGATTTATTTTTGAAAATTAAAAAAGACTAATAAACATTTCCATTTTTTCATTTCACACTCTTTAAAGCCAGTTTGTGCACACTAAACATTCCATTAGTAGTTCCCTCACATCTTTCTTGTGCAAACATTCAGTGTTTTAAAAACCAATCTAAAGAACTAAAAAACCAAATGCCCTCAATTCCACTTATTTGACCAAAGGGGCTTTTGACTTAACCAAGAAAAAAGAAAAAAAATTCTCTAGGTAGAGGTGTGCTGTTTGAAAAAACGTTTCACCTCACTCTCTTTTTAGTTCCCCTTTTTCCCTAAGTGTGTTATTTCTTTAGAATGCTCAAGAAAATAAAGAGATTGTACAGACTACAATGTCTGTACAATGTCTCTAAAATGCTTTTCCAGTACAAATGGGAACTAAACTCCCTACCAACAGAATTTAGAAGTGAATTGTATCAAAAAAGGAAGCTTTCTGACCAAATACGAGTGTCACTGTTTTTCCCTTCAATGACTGCCTCTTTAAAATTTTCATCTTTGTCTTATATAGTTTTAGTATTTATATTATACAAGAAATGATATCTCTTGGCAATATAAAAAAGTGACCCCAAGTTTAGCATTATTTTCTATAAATAAGCCTATTCTTAATTGTGATATTGATGGCTTATCATGGAGAAGGAGGGACTTTTAGAATTATAAAAGCAAATAATGCAGTTATCTTGGGCTTATAATGAAATGAACTGCTTTCTTTTTGTTTAAGCCTAGATTGATAAAATTATGTAGAATTTTAGTAAGATATAGGTTTTCTAGGCCATTATAGATTCCTCTCAAACTTATTAAAGTGAAAAAAGCCAAGGATATATCATTGTTATTCATTTTTGCTGGGATTTTTCTCTACCATTGAATCACTAGTCTAACCTTGACATTTTTGAAATTTACAAAGGACACTTTGAGGTGTGTAAAAGGGGTCACTCAAAAGTAATAGCATATATTATAATCATTTTAAAAACAAACAGTAACTATTCACAAAATCTAGAAAATTGCAAGCAAGTCTCAGTCTAATACATATTTCCATCATACAGACACATTTTCCTTTCTATGCTCTTCTCAGAGAGAATCCTTTCTTCTCCCTTCCCAAGACAGGACAAATGCAACAAAATTTAACAACCAAAAGAAACGGAAAAAGATGGAGGAGGCAGGAAAAAGTAAATGATTAGAGAAAAAATAGTGAAGGAATATAGTGTGCTGAGGTGTTTCCTCATTTCTCAGTGATGTGGTTCATGTATTTCTTCATCTGCCCCCAAACTTTTTCTTTAGTTTGAGGGATGGCGATGAGGAGTTATTACAAAATTTAAACAAAAATTTTTAAAAATTATTTTTTTCTCTTTTACTGGCTTTTTTTTTTTCAGTTCGACTAATATTGCCTAGGCTCCTGGACCATTGTGGCCCAAATCAGTTCTACGTACGACCCACATAAATCATTCTTATCCTTTCTTATCCAGTTTTCTTACCCAGTTTTCTGAAACTCTCTTGGTAAAAGATGCTAAGAAAATTCCAACATTAAGTTATGAAAATGATTTAGGCTTGTATTTGCCCATTGGAAGCCCAATCTATTCTATTTTTATTTCCTAGTGTTTTACACATTATTGTAATTATTATATTGAATTACATTTAATAATTATATAGCAATTATAATTACTTTAAATTTATTTTTATTTTTCAGTGTAGGATATTTCTCACCACCAGAAATTCAGGAATTAGAGATTCTTCTCTTGCTTTTCCTCACCATCTATTTCTGCTATCACAATGATTATTAACTAATCATCCCCATCAAATCTCTTAAGGCTATATGAAACATCTTTTGTTTTCCATTATCTTAGCATATTTTTTATCAAAAAATAAAAAGAAGTTACTCTAAGATGAGGTCAAAATAACCCAATAGTTAAGTTTTTATTAGTTGTCTTGGTATAATGTGTTCATTTCTTGTTTTGAATTTCACAGGGTCTTATCAATATAACGTCCCAGAGTCATTACCTGTAGCCTCAGTTGTGGCCAGAATTAAAGCTGCCGATGCAGATATTGGAGCTAATGCTGAAATGGAGTACAGAATTGTGGATGGTGATGGATTGGGCATTTTTAAGATTTCTGTTGACAAAGAAACACAGGAAGGAATCATTACTATACAGAAGGTAATGTTTTCTTTATTTATCTCTTACCACAGATTACTGAGAAGTCCTATCTGTTTGATGGGAGAATGCACTAGACAAAACGAATGGCCATATGGGATCATTACTATTTTAATTTTAGTAAGATAAGCTATGCATTTATTTTTAGGTGTCAGACTCTTAGGGAACCTTGAGTTACATTTGTAATAACACCCATCAATTCTATTCTTTAAGAAACTCACAGCCGTTATCTATAGCACTATAAAAATAAAGCAGACTGGCAATGTGCTGTTTTAAAGACCTATTTGGAGAGATGAATTTGTTTCTGCCCTGACTGTTCCACTAATGAAACCCTAAAATCAACCAAAAGCCGTGTATGCAAACAACATATGCTATTATTTTCTCCATGAATGAAAATAATATAATTTCAAGTAGAAACCAAAATGTTGAAGACTTGCTACATTAACAATTATTGCCATTTAAAATTTATAGTAATTGGGAGACTTGAATATTTCATACAAGAAGAGCATGAAAAGTTGTAAAACCTATCGTAATTTCTAGAGAGTGTGAAAGAGACGGAAAGTCAGTACAGCCTAAACTAAAGATTATTTTCCATAATATATTTAAATTAGTTCTCAACACAGTTATAGGAGAAAATGGACTCTTCTCTTTTCAATATAGAGCCATGACTTTTTACAAGTATTTAATCAAAAATAATAACTCAAAAGCTGTTATTTCAAAATGTAGTCTTAGTTTATCAACTATTTGAAACATTAAAAATATATCAATATATTGATCCCTAAGATATGAATTTTTTGTCAGTATGAAAATCCAGTGTATAACTTTGTAATTAATGCTTTTCAATAATTAGCACATATCAATAAATAAAGTTATATTTTAGTTGTTATAGGAAAACATATGTTTGATTTCAGACCAATGAGAAATACATTTCTGCAATTATTTCCAGTGGACAGCTGCTGTTTTAGCTAAGCTGGTTACAATCTGTGTATAAAAGTTTTAATAACTAGAGTAGGCCAACTGTTGGTAAAATGTTTTGTTTTGTTGTCTAAAATAAAAGGAATTCAGTAAGGTATAATGCTGCTCAAAGATTTCAAAGAGTCATCTGAAATCAATCTGTTCACATTCAAGAATTTTTAATGCAAACTGAAACTTTTTATTGAACAACTACCTGTATTTTATATATTATAATGAAGGTAGCATGAATCTTTGAAAATTCTAAATTCAATATAAAATATTTGATTTAGTAAAGGAAATATAAAACTTATTTTCTAATTTTATATCATTTCTGGAAATTTTAGAAAATTGTTAGAAAAGGAGACATAAAAAACCTAGGTTAAAAATTATGTCATCTAAAAGCATAAAACTCATGAAAAAATTGCAAGGATAAATTTGATTATCACTTATAACAATAGAAAAGCATCACAATCATTATTCTTACAGCTAGCAATTAATATCTGTCAGGCTTTTCTTTTTGAGTAACTTACAGGCTTTATTTTATTTTCTCAACAATTTCATGAAGCTACTATTAGGACACTGAAAATATGGAAACATTATAAAATATTGAACAATTGAAGAAATGGTAAATAATTGTTATTATCATATTAAGAAATTTGCATCCATCATTGTAGTAATGTGGTGATGTTGTTTTTGCAAATAAATATGAAAATTTTTATTGAAAAATTATTAAAAAGGCAGTATCCAAACTAAAGTCACATTTTATAAAAAGTATATTTATACAGAATAACAGATTACAAGAAAAATGTTAAAATGTTAGTAGTATCATTTCTAGATCTTACCTTTACTGCTTGTTCAATAATATGTAATATTCAATAGTTATTGTTATAATTGAAATGTTGTTAAATATATAAAAGAGTTATTCAAAGGCCAAACTGAACTAAATCTCATTAAAAACACTGTATAATCTACTTTGACTATTATTAGAGATGGTAATTATTTTACAAATGTAGAAATAAGTCACAGACAGGGTATTCAGTGGTACCAAATTTCATGTATGAAGTTCTCTTAGGTATTAAGAAAGATATAATCTTCTATTTAATAAATTATGATTTTAAAACATTCCAAATTTTTACAAATTTAGATTAATAGAATTTTTGGTTTTGATACTAGAGATTCGTTACTTCTGCCCAAAATCTGAGTGATGCTTTGAATCTAATAAAAGTCAATAATTGGTTATTATTAAATATTTATTCATCAACCATTATATGAGAAGTTAGCTAAATATTTTAACAATTTTTTCACAGAATATGAGGTCAAAACTCCATTATTTTTACTTGTGATTGTTAGCAACTAAAATTAAATTTTATTTTCTTAAATGGCTTCTAATACATAAATACTTGTCTAATTCTTTGTTTTCTTATATAACATCAAAGATTAGGAGTAATTAAGCACACAGAATGTACAGGAGAACCTTAAGAAACAACAGTGGTGAAAAATTTCATATTACTTCTGTGTCATAAGTAGCCAAGGTAAATCTTCATATGTAATGAAGCAATTCTTGTTCATCCTGAATTACTATGAAGTGTAGAATCAAACCGAGTAGTTATCAAAGGTCAAAAAAATAACATTTAGTTACCCAGGGATTTTATACACATCAGTAGACAGTTCAGATGTTGAATGCTATCATGATTTTCTATATTATTTTGAGCCTAAATACACTGTTTATATGAACAATAATTTAGACTAAGAAGTTAGTCATAGTTTATTACTCTTAAGGGGATGGCACTAACTTGCTTTCAGCTTTCTAACATGCAAAGTAGATCTGATTTTTAAGTTTTATCTTAATGTGGAGAATATATATACCATTTGAGGCAGAACCATTAGATTCTAAAAGTAAAATAATGTGTAGCAATAGATGGCATGAACCTAAGCAGTATGGTCTGCAATTTTTATGTTCATTAATTCATCATGATAGAATGCATGGGTGTTAAGATGAGATATCTGAAATTTTGCTGTTTGAAATAGGTAAAAATATTTTTAAAAATACCTATGGTGCTTTTATACAGAGCAGATAATATCAACATGGAGATAAATGAAAACAAAATCTCAGTTTTCTTCATGCTAAAAATCTTTAGGCTTAGCAAATGTTACTTTTTACTTTCTTCCTACACTCCTTCTTCTCCATGTAGTTCTGAGTAGATACTAGATAGTGGAAAATTAACTCATATACAGGAGCTTAATTTTTATTTCCAAAGCTCCCTCCACCTCCAAACTAATTTTTAAAAATTTTACAATTTTTTATTGTCTGTTAATATGTTCCAGTGTCCAAACAATCTTACTTTCTCATCTGCATTGGAATAAACAAACATAAATAAATAACTTCTGTAAGAGTTGACTAAAAATAGTGGAAATGATACATTTGAGTTTTACTGCAGTTTAAGCTTATAGTGTTGTACAGTTGATCCTTAAAAAACATGGGCTTTAACTGAGTGAGTCCACTTATATATGGATATTTTTTCAATAACTATATTACAATCTTTTTGGAAATTTGTGACAATTTGAAAATACTCACAGATGACTTATGTAGCCTAGACATCTTGAAAATTTTAAGAAAAATAGTTATGTATTGAATGCCTAAAATATATGAAGATATTAGTCTATGTGTTAGTAGTCTAGTTGTGTTATCAGTAAGGTTTCTGGCCAACAGTAGGATATTAGTAGTTAAGTTTTGAGTGATCCAAAGTTATACACAGATTTTTGACTGTGTCGGGGTGGTTCTCCCAACCTGTACGTTTTTCAGGGGTCAATTGTATATTCATGTAGTTTTTAGATGAAAATTTACCATTAATTCATAATTTTCTTATTCTCAGCAATTATTTTATTAATGTATTGAAATATATAATTCAAAGTTGATGTGTAGCTTCTATGCTTCTTACCCTGTAATTGGTTCCAGAATATTCCAGGGTTTGTCCTGTTATCCTCAAACATTTGTTCATATGCTTTCTATGAACTGCAAATAACTATTAGATGCTTAGAATTGGGATCTCTTAAACTTGCTGTCAGCTTTCTAGTGAGGAAAATAGATCTGATTTTTAAGTTTTATCTTAATGTGGATAATATATTTACCATTCTAAGGCAGAACCATTAGATTCTAAAAGTTAAATAATGTATATAGCAACAGAAGGCATGAACCTAAGCAGTATGGTCTGTAAAATTTTTATGATCATTAACTCATCAGAATAGGATACATGGGTATTAAAACGAGATATTTGAAACTTTACTGTTTGAAATAAGTAAAATTTTAAAAAATTGTGGTGCTTCAGACTCATGGTTGCCAGATACATATCACTATTCCTCAGTTTCACTCAACAATCTAGAGCAGTCACGAAACTACTTGTAATTCCTGGAAAGCAACGTAAAGTTTTTTCCAGTTCTTCAAACCTCCCCTTGCCTGTTGACTCCCCTGTGCTCTGCTTTCATGCTCCTTACCATACTCATCTTTTGAGTCTAAAAAATCTCTCCTGTTATTTCTTTAAACAGTAAACAGAAGAAGCATAGCACCTGTACCCGCAAGATGTATTTTTTTTTTCTAGGAAGGAAGTGTGTGTGTGTGTGTGTGTGTCTGTGTGTGTGTGTGTGTGTGTCCCTTCAGTCATGGGAACTGGTCTAATCACGGAATGTAGATGTCCTAGTTCCATAAATATTGTGATCTTTTTCATAGACTTAGCTGTGGTCACAAGGATTGAATAAATATCCAAGGCTTTTTAGAAGTGTCCAAGAGAACTCAGGCCCCATCTGTCAGCCAACTGGTCAGTTCTATCAGGGCTTTCAAGGATTTGAACATGCCCTGAGGAAGAAGTTGAATAGTGGATGCATAACACTGTTTTTCTCAGGTAGACAAGGGAAAGCGGCACAGAGGTAACCACCTGTGCAGAGACTTCACTTATGAGATAACCTGCTAAATACAGAAAGAAGAACTGGGGCAATTTCACTGGAGAATAATGAGGAAGGGAATGTGGGCAACAGATGAGGTAATATAAATGAGA